TAGATATCAAAGTGTCCCAGCCAGAGATGCTGTTGTATTTTTTTTTTTCCTGTCAGCCGCTGAAAGATTAGGAACTCCACTCACTCTGATGATTTCTGCAGAGACGCATGAGCCAAAAGCTTTACTGCACGCTGCAGAAAAGCTGTCACCCCAGAGGGGAGTCCTTCCACACGCTGCAGGAAGGGCCACAGCTAAGCCCTACTTCAGGTCTTAGTCTGACACAGCTATAGGTCTGGCTCTAGAGGAGTCCTCTAACCAGTGACCTAGTGGTCCTGGGAGAACCTGGGGGTCGATACAGGATTGCCATAATCTGCTCTTGTCCACAGGCAAAAATAGCCCTTCTTCAGCATTTTCAGGACAGGCATTCATTTTTTTTTAAGCTGATGCCATCTCCATTCTCCAGCAGAGAGGCATCAAGGACCTCTCTTGGCCGTAAGACAAAAAGCAACTAAGAAAGACTGGAGCATCACTAGGGCTTGTGTCACATGCTGCAAGGGAGAAAGGGGGGAAGAAGACAAAGTGCCCCCCCACAGCTCACTCCCCAAGCTGAGCTTGAGGGAAGGCTGAGCCGCCAGCCTCTGTCAACTGCCAAGAAAGCCACACGTTCCTTAGCTCAAGAGCCTGCTAGATACCCTGTGCTTAGCCACCAAGCCCAGCCCCAGCAGACGTGAGAGCCAGGGCACTTGTGTAATGCTCCTGCTATATATATATATATATCTATCAGGATTGTTAAGACTGACTTCTCCCTGGAGGCTTTCTGTAGCAGCTCTGTCCTTGTTCTGCTCTCTGGAACACAACAGAGGTAGAGGAAGGCTCCAGCTGGAGATGACAGTGGTGGCAGGGGCTGGCCCACCATCCATGTGTTGTCACGTACAGCCCCTGTGCAGTCTTCCTGTTTATTTACTTGACACTCACTTCAGCTTTCAGCAGGGGGGTAGGGTCAGGTTTTTGAGAGGTGGGCTCAGAAGCTGCAGCTGCTGAAAGGAGTGAAAGGCAGAGAAGACATGCCCCCAACACTGCCACCCCTCTTGTCCTCCCCACCCCAGAAGTATGGAAGGAGAGGAGTGCAAGCTTGAGGTTTCTCCCTCAAAAGAGGGGGTTATTCACATTTCCTAGAACAATCAGAGCCCTTGCATTTACCACTAGAACAGCCAACTAGTGGGTCAAAATGTAGAGGCAACACCAGAGTTCACGAAACAGGAGTTACTGACAAAGGTTGTCCTGTCTGGAAGTCAGGGAGCAGCAAGCCAGCTCCTGCCTTGGTGTATACCACAGGGATATAAGGACAGCCTTTCCCCAAGGCAGTCTTGGTTTAGACAGCACTAGTGAACAGAAACTACCATCTAATACTAATTCACACACAAGGGCTGGGGCTAAAGGATTGCTCTTGTTCCTCCTTTAGCTAATCCAAATCTCAGAACTGAGGGAACATGTTCAGATATCCAGTGGCATTTTAATCAATATTACCTTGTTGGCCCAATATATGCCCACATCAGCTGACCCTCTCCCCACTGCAGAGGAAGTAAGAAGGCATAGCTGCTTTGCCTGTCAAGAGTGACAGCTGGACTTCATCACCTAATAACACTGCACACAGTCACTACATGTAGCACTGACTTCAATAAGTCCTTTATTTTTAAATAAAGAAATCCCACAGAATCAAAGATAACAAAATTACATTTTGTTTTGCAATGACCTCCATTTTATACCACACAGAAGAACAAAAATTAAAGAAAAAAATCAAAGACACTGTTATATATATACTTATATATAATTTTAAAGGTAAACATCAGCAGATATAGAAAAATTGCATTGCTAGTTGCAAATCATCTCCCCTGCAGCTGTCGGCTCCAGAGGATCTGACTCAGAACATGGCAGCGGGAAGGTGTCTCAGTATACAAGCTTTTTTTCAGGGCAGCATTTAGAGATGGTTCCAGAGTATAATTCAGCCAATTTGAAGATATTTTCATAGCAAACTGCTCACCAAGAATATTAGAAGTCACTCAGCCTGTTCCAACACACCTGCATGGGCAAAACAAGGGCACAAGTCTGTTCTTCCTGAGGTCTCCACTCACCTCTTCAGCTTGGGATTTTCAGAGGAAGAGGTTATGCTTTCTCAAGAAGAATGCCTAGTGATCTGTCACTGGGAATTACGGTCAAGCAGTCAAGTAACACAATGAGAAAATGTGCTCCTTTAGAAAGCTGCTGACTTGGGCTAAGCAGTAGGGTTTGGTTATATCAAATACAAGTGGGTTTTGTTTGGCTTTTTTTTTTTTTTAAGACTTCCCAGTTGGCAGGAGCCATGAAAGAGGTCAACATCCCAGTAGAGCTTAGTGGAGATCCTAGAAGAAAGTTCTGTATCTAATCAAAGCTCTTGCATGACCAGAGAGAGACAATGCAAGCTTGTCATTCAGACAAAAGCAAAAAGGCTTTGTGTAGAGCCACCTTGTGGGATCAGGCTCCTTACTGGCATTAAAACTGCCTGGTTTAGGCAAGGCCATTTTGGTGAGAAGGAAGGACATGGCCTTTAGCGGGTGCGGGGCTGGAGCTTTTGGAGAGTGTCAGAGAGACTTGGAAAAGCCTGTTCAATACTAGCAGATCCAACCTGATAAATGCTGCCCTGGATTGCAGTGTTTGTGTCCATTGATTAACTAGCAAAACCAAGAATACAGATGTTCAGAATGCAACGGTTCAGGGTAACCCCAGAAACCCTTCCACCACAGCATAGAAAGCTGGCAACTGCTTTGACTCACTGATTGCACTTGTGCCTTAAACTCCCTCAACAGCAGAGAAAGTCCAGGCCAGTGTAACAGACACTCCCAGCAATAAGAGGGGTACAGTTACAAGACACCCCCCCTTCCTTGGGGCAGTGTTGCTCTGAGAAAACTCAGAAAGTCCTCACACTAAGAAGAGCTGTTTGCTTTCCACCTAGAAGCCATGAAGGAGACACTGCTTTAAGTCACTGTGGCTCCAGGACCTACCCTACCATCAGATCTGCCAAAGGAATAAGGACGCATGGAGCAAGACTCAAACCAGAAACAAGATGCTCTTCACAACAAATGACTTACACATGCAGCACAAGGCTAGGGCCTTTTCTGGTCTCACTGAAATTCTTCACAGCCTTTTTCAAGAAGCTTCAGACAGGCATAACATTTCTCAAAAAACTTGGAAGCAATTCAGGTGACTAAACTGTTTGGCAATTAAATCCTGAAGTTGCTACTCTCTGCTTTTTCTTTTGAGATGTAGTCACTTCGGCAATTACCTCCAGCTACGCTGCTGGAGAGTTAATAGACATGAGAACTTTGGGATTGTAAGGTAACAAGTCACATATTAAGCAAAGCAAACCCTCCTTCTATGACTCAATCCCTACTGCTAGAGGAGCAGAGAGCTGAAAATGATCCACTGCTTATATAAATTATTTTAAGCCTTAAAATAGACTGTAGCTAGTTGTAGGCTGCCCACAAAGGTCCTTTAAGTCAGCACACTTATACAGTGTACATTGCCAGAGTTGTTTCACTACCTAGTGTCTGAAAATTCATTGACTAAAAAGCAAAGCCCCAAAAGCTCTGTCAGAGCTGTTACTGAAGTCTCTAGATATGCTGATGTGAAGGGAGGGGGAGAAAAAGGGCAAGGCACCACGTGTCAAAGGGCTGTGATCTAGGAACTTGTGACAGACCCAGGACAGAGGACACACAGGTAAGCTTGGCTAAATTCAGTACGTAAGCCAACGGTTCCCAACATCTTTGCTTAATGCCCTGTCTTTGTAACCTAGATCTTCATAAACAGGAACTGCAGATAAACACTTCGGAAAAGATTGCAGGGAAGTTACAGTGCAACTACAACACTGTCAGACCCATCTGAAAACACCTTCAATTTAGAAGCTATCCAAGGGACCATTAAAAATGCTGGCAGATCTGATGTAGTGGAAGCTGCAAGTTCCTTGTGTTCAGTAAGAGCAAGTCCCAGCTTCTCACCTACAAGCTTCAGATCTCTCCAGACACTGAGGTGATGGTTAGACCAGCCTAACCATCAAACAGTAATAGTTCTGCAGCTTGCTATCTGATTGAGAGAGTCCTTAGGGTTTATGTTCAAGTGCTACTTACATCCAGTGATGGGAGAGGTGTGTACACCACACGAGACTAGCTGTGGAAGAGCTCTGCTAATGCTTTTTCTAATCCCAGTTTGAAACTAAACAGAGCACACGACAGATTCATCATGCTGTAGTCTTGAACTGCACTATCAGACTACACTGTAATGATATAGAAATGCACACTTCAACAACCTCGTGTCTTGACAAGAGATGAAAAAGACGACTTCGCCTCTAAGACTTAAAAATTCAGATTACATTTAAGGTTGAGTTCACTGGGCAAATGAAGGCCACCTGTCCACATCACAAGACTAGTATTGCCTTATTTTGGGAGAGAAGAGTATTTCAGATTAGGATTGGACGAAGTCACATGCATCTTGGGGCACTGGCACTAGGTATCAGTTGCCAGTCACTGTCAGCAGCAAGATTTAATACAGGATTCCCTTTAGGTAACATGTACCGCAGCTTAACTTTCTCCTCTGCCACTTCCCCAAGATCTCTTTAAGTTACTGCTGCAAGTCTGACACCATGAGTCTTGCTTTGAAAGTAGCAAATTGGGTGGGATGGGGAGAATAGATTTTCCACTGCTTCCACCTACAACAAGCTTAGTAAGCTGAACCTCAGGCTTCAGAAGCCTTGCACAAACAAGCCGCTGACAAAAGCTCTTCTTCCCCAACCAGGCTAGAATTAGTTGGTCAAGTCACAAGTGGTTTGAACAGCTGTAGATGCAAGTGCAAAAGCAGGTCAAAGAAGCAAGACAGATACCCATATTACTTCTGCAGTTGAGAGTTTCAGAAAGTCCACAGCATCAGCACTTCTGAAGTACGATGGCTTGGGTTGCAGGGCAGGAAGGAGTATTCTTGAAGAGACCCTTCAACTTTAAAGCAAAATCTCTAATTAGACAAAGCTACACCTTTACAAAATGGAAGGAAGAAAATTTTTTCCAAGAAAAAGCTGCTCAGGACAAAGCTCCACTTTCAGAGGGACTGGCATGATTTGGCCAAAAAGCAGAGGCAAACCACTTGCTTTGCCTCAGCATTAACCTTCCCAGACAGTACTGAGCCAGTTCTCACCCTCCTGACTTCCACATTCTGGGCCAGTCAACAACGGAACCGTTCTGCCAGTCTGGGGACCTGGGCAGGAAGGCAGAGCTTCAGCCGCCTGGGGAGATGGACAGAGAGCCCCTACTTTTGATAAGGCTCTCAACTTGAGGAAGGCAGATATTTTGCTCTCGAAGGAGGTCAGACACACACTGACCTTTCTTTCACAGGTACCCACATGTTGGGTCATACGATGGGCTCTTCACTTCGACAGCAGTATTGGTACCAAGGACAGCTTCTGTTCCTCTAGAGCTGTCTGAAGTTGATACTCAGGACAGTAAAGCTGGATTGAGGAAGGACACATGAAGCACAGGAAGGGCAGTTTTGTTTCCTCAAGGCAGACAGCCACAAACTGTGTAAGCTACAGCTGTAGTATACTATGAAAGTTGAAACACTTCTAAAGTTGTAACCACTGGAGATAAAAACCATATCCCCCTACACACCTAAATTTATACTGTATCTATTTGGTGCGTACAAGTGTTGTTTACACTCCACTTCTGTTGAAGCGAGAAGATATTGAAGTCATATCCAATGAATATTACATGAACAGCTACTTAAGCAAAAATCTGAAATGTCTTTTATGACAGATTTTAGTGATATACAGATGCAGTATGAGTAAGAGGATAACAACATAGAGACAAGATACCCATCAGCTAAGAATATCCTTGTTAACTGATGCCCTAAAATAGTTCTTAAGGAACAGCCACAAGCATGGCCAAGTCTTGCTATAGCTTTACTTGGTCACATCTTTTCTTTGATGAAAAAAAGGAAACCTGGATTTACTAACAAGGAGAATGTGCAGATATCCACAGTTCATTGTAACAGGCCAAGGTGTCTGGCCTAAGGCAAATGAAAGGAATTTCCTGATATGATAATGCATCTTTGCTACAACAGTTAATTATTGCTTTATTAAAACAAAAACCCACTTCTCCAACCTACTGAAGTTCAGGGACAGGGCGGTCCAGAAGGCTTGTTCCCCTATATTACCAGACTGAAGTCTTGCAGCTCATTTCACCCTTAAGCTATAAACTAAAGTGCCTGGAACACCGACCAAGGCTGAAGCAATAAAGTGCTAATTGATGTGGGAAGTGTGACAGGAAGAGTACTTCACTGACACTGTGATAAAGAAGTCCTAAGGATGGATTGATGAGACTACATTATTGACAGAACAAACAGTAAAAAAAAAGATTTTGACCACAAAGTTTCAGTCTCCAGATTGTCATGGGACAACTTTCCTTCCAGGGGATAGACTAGGGTCTTTAATAACCATCTTGGCACGGACCATAACAGCCGCTTGAGGGAAAAGCACAAGTGAGTAGGCATCTTTCCTGCAAACAGCTTTTGCACATTAAAACTAGAAGAGGACATCTGGGTGTGGAAAAGGAATTCAAGTGAGGAAGAGCCCAGTGTCTTACTGGAGCCAGTAATCCTACAGCGTTTACATAGATATGGAAGTAGTTAGCCATGCAAAAATATCATTTTAGTTGCACAGGGCTAGAGACATCCAGTTCCCCATCAACTGTAAGGCAAGTCGTGTCTGAAAACCATTCGATGCTTTGAAAGCTAAGGGGAAGAATTTTGCTATGATTTACCCTGACATCAGGGGAGTAAGTCTAAATAGATACCTTCCCCCCCAACAAATCAATCCCTAACAGAGTACATAATTCTCTACGAAATATTCTTGAAAACAGATTGAGCTCACAGAAAGATCCTGCAGATTCTTAATCTCTGGTTTCCATTTGGAAGCCAGAGCCAGCTTTAAAAAGCCCTGGGTCAAACAAAAAATCCAGTACTAAAAAGGTGACTACATTTAAAGAGAGGCAAAGATGACAAGAAGGTGACTGACCTGGTCTTGGTGCGAGAACATGTTTACATAGAAACATTAACTGGTATTACCAGCCTGCAGCTTTTCTCTACTTGAAGTCCCAGCATAAAGACACCCCAATCCACAGATAGCTGAAGCATGGAAAAGTTAAGTATTTTTAAACTGATTCACTTGTGTAAGTGCGTTCCTAGGAACTAAAAGGCTTCCCTTGAGATGGTGCAAGGCTGGAACGCCACTTGTAGTCAAGCATCTGTTGTTCCAAGCCACATTTTAGTGGCTTACAGACTGAGCTGCTCACCTGCTTGTGGCTTGGTACAGGGTTTGTCCAGCACTGGGACAGAGGAGAACAGTCATAGTTACCCTGTCATCTACACCTAAACAAATGCTGCAGATCAAGTTTTTGACCAGCAGGTGAAGAGATTTTGACATTTGATACTTCTGCTATATTAAAGCAAGCAGTCTTTAAGCTCAATAACCCTGTAACAAGTCACAGTCAGCCACCTAATTCTTCAAGCAGAGCAGTAAACTACAAACCCAAGTGACTATATATGCAAAGATGCTCTGACCAGATATCAACCTCTGCTTTAACTCCACTTTGGAAGAAAACATTGTGATCAAACCCCAGCCATAGGATATCAAGGAGAATGGAAACCTGAAGCAGCAGGTGAGAGAACAAGATGTTCCTAGAGGGGGAGATATACTGAAGTGATCCAGAGTCTTTGGGTCAATTACTCCTGGCCAGATACAGCCTGCTCTGTGTCCGAGCAGTGAGACTTTGTCTTCTCCCACTGGCAGATGGCATCGGCATACTGTACCACAAGCTTATCCATCCAGGTAAGAGGTTCTGGGAATAGTACAGACCCCTCAAAAAATCCCAGGTGGCCTCCGTGAAGGGGCAGCACATGCATGACATTTTCACGTTTCTCTGTAAAACAAGAGGAGGCACAAAGTTCCAGAAAGTTAACATCTTGGAGCTGAGAATGAAACCATCTTAAGTTGTGATAATCAACTCTGCTCCTTTAGTTCAGATGCTGTGCCAAGGATAATCATGTGTAGGAGGCAGAAATGCATTGACAAAGGCCATGGCTACTTTGAAGTCCAAAGCGCATAACCTTACTGCTTCACAGAACAGGACAGTCTGCAGGAACCAGTCCCAGCCAGTACAAGAAGGCTGCCCAAGAAATGCTGTTGGCTGGGCCCTTACAGCAATACAGGTATTGCTGTAAGAATGCCCATTCTTTAATGAATGAACATCTTTAACTCATGTACACTGGAACTAGGACTGTTTGCATCATGTCGAGCTGCACCAAAGCTCTGACAGTACATCAGCCACCTTCTTCCACGTACAGTGAGAAAACCCCTGTGCTTGCTTCTGTCAGAAGCAGCTGTGGATAAATTCTCTGCTCATAGCTTTCAATCAGGAAAAGAATGAACGCTGCTCCCCCCCTGTGCACCCACTCTTTGTGTGACGAAGCAGCAGCCAGCTCCCTCTTCTGAGCTTCTAAAAGTAATTTGCCTTTTTTTTTTCTTGGCTGAAGATAGACAGTTCACAGAACTCCTTTCAAGGGAGAGATCCTAGTTCAGTACCAAATAACACAGCTATGCATGTGCCCCCCAGCTCCTCATCAGCAAAGGGGGCTGTTCATCTGTACTAGATCAAGACCATCACTATAATAACCCACCTTTCTACTAAATCTCAGTGAGGAATGAAGACAGGAAGAATAATTTTTCCACTCAAGAATGTAACCTGAATGTAACCTGCTGGCTATCAACACAAGCCAAAACAGCAGAAGGTACCTGAAAGGACTCAAGTTCTTCCTGCTCAAGGTTAGCCTTGTTAGTTCTAGCAACTGGCGATTTAAAGAGGCTTAGTACACCTCCCACAGGGTTACAGATGTAAGGAGGCAAGTCAAGCTGCTTTGAAATCATGGATCATGATGTGATAAGGAAGCTGCACGTACACAAGTATGCACAGCTGGAACATACTGCTTCAACATACCTGAAAGAGCTCTTGGAATTGATAGAAGACTCTCATGCACAAGAGGGTCATCAGCAGCATTAACCAACAAAAGGGGAACACAGATCTGCATCAAGAAACATGGCAGAAAAGGAAAAAACACACACAGTAAGGGGTTGGTATTTAAGCTTCAGTCTACCAAGTGTAAAAGCATCTTAGCTTAATTCAATTAACACATCTTATTTCAGAATTGCCCTGTATCTGGAGAAGCATCAGAAAAGCAGAAAGAGTCAACATTTAAGGCTGGTGGCTTTTCACCAACGGAGTACTTTGCAGCACTTGATTTTATTTTTTTCAACTCAGTTGTATGAAAGGGGCAGGGGTGCATCAGAGCAAACACAGATTGAGTCACAGATCTTCCCCATTCTCAGAATTCAAACAGCTACACCCATTTTTGCTCTGTATTGCTTTGCACATCAGGCAGCTAGTGCCAGCTCTGTTATGGACACCTTGGTTAAAGTCCAGGAAACTCCCTTGGAACACCTCCATCCTCTGGCTCAGTGGATCAAGGAGGAATTAATCTTCCAGTCCGCTTCTGCAAAACTTTGGTTTGCTAAGCATCTGCCTGCCAGATAGCATCCTGAGTCTCTTCCACAGTATCTAGTAAGTCTTTCTTCCTTGAAACTGCAGGCTCTATGCCACCACCCATTTCCCACCTTATCCTCATACACTCAGAGCAGTTCAACTGAATGCATGGCTTTATCTAGATTCACTTGGGTGCTACTACCTGTCAGAGTTAAAGCTCTTAAGAGCCCAGAGCATTTAGCCCCAGTATTAGAGCTAGCGAGAACTGAAATCCCATTCCAATATACTGTGTCTGATTATTTTTGAAAATCCCAGCTAAGACAGCTGTGTCCAAGCATTAACAACAGAAACCACAGTGCATTCTCTCTCTCCAGTAGGAAAATGAAGGTACAAGAGCAGTCTCTATTGCAAGAGCTTACCCTGTGCAAGTAATGCAGGCAGCTTTCTTCTTCATAGTATTCCTTCAGGGAACTGTAGCCGTGGAACTTCCTGAAATAGAAAAGACTGTCATTGCAATCATCTGCTTCTAGTACCCATGTGATTCTTACTTTCAAGTGAGAACATATATGCAGAGATGGGAATGATGCCTTGATTTTCATGGACAATGCTTTTTTTTCCTACCCAGTGTCTCCGCAAAACTCACCTTTGGCAGCACAAGCCTTTATGCTTTCTGTGCTTACTCAAATATTGTGATAGCACAGGCAAGTTAAACATGCAAGTTGAAGCCCAGTGGTCTTCAGCACATTTCTTTTAAAGTATCCCATTTCACTTAAGTAATTGTACATATGGAAGAAAGAAGAAGTTACGATCTTGTTCATCTTTACCTGAAAGTCTTTTCAAATACAAAACCACCACAGTTTATGAACCTCAGACATACTGGACAAAAGGGCCTGCCTACAAGCCACCCAGAATTCACTGTGGTTCCAGTTCTTTGCCAAATCCTTAGCTCTCCATCCCAAACCAAGAATTCAGTAAACCTATGCTCAAATGCTTTTTTTTTTCCTGACATGAGAGACATAGGCCTTTCTAGTTTGGGCCAACAGCTCAGGGATGAGGGACAAGTAGGGAGATTTCCCTAGGAATGGCTTTTAAAAAGCAGCCAGCAATACTCCCAGTCTGCCAAAAGTGTTACAGCTGTATAGCCAACAGTTTACAGTTTCATTTTGGAAAGGTGTCAATGCCTGACACGGAACATGCCATGGTACAAATGCTGCCACTGAAGAAAGTGCTATGTTATTTTCAAGGACACGGGCAGTAACAGGCTACTGCTTAATAAAGCAGAGAGCTTAATTTAGGTGTTAGTATGACAAGTAAAAAAGGTCGTATCATCTCAGCCAACCCTAATGTTTATTGAGAAGGCAGGAGTGGGTTTTGGGGGGAAGGTTTGTTTCAAAATTCAAGCAGGGCTAAGGACATTCATTAGCAGTTCTGAGCTGCTTTCCACATTCTGCACTTTCTTTTGCTAGAGCTTGCAGCAGAGCTGGCCTCTTCTTATGTTATTGAAGGCTGCAGGTTCAGATTTACTGATAAATAAATGCCTCCTGGATGATTTTACAGAAGCTGTGACTGTCAATAGTAAGTTGGGTTTTTTTCTGGTAAGTTTTATTCAATGTGAAGGCAAGGAAGAATTTCTGAGGTTGTCAGCACTGTATTTCAGCAGATTCCTACAGGCACAGCAAGGGGCATGCAAGAGCAACGCTTGAAAGAGAAGGTACTTTCAGAGATCTATGTAGGATCAGAGAATCACCCTTCGTACCTCATAACGTTATCATCAATCTGCATAAGGGATGTTGCTGTATACAGTTTGCTCAGATCAGCATCTGACAGGCTTTGTGGCTTCTTCATGTTATCTCCAAAAAGAGCTTGCCTGAAAGAGTAACATCAAGAAAAACATCCAAATAACAACAAGGGCAGCAAAGCCATGACCTGTTCAAGGACAACTAAGTTTACCAAGTCTGACAAGATAAGAAGTGTGCTACATATACATGAGGCTTTCTTGGGAACAAGCACAGCTTATTTGTCCACCTCCCTTTGCAGCAAGGCATAGCAGAAACCCTAGCAGCCTCTTTATAGGAAAAAAAAAGTTTTCCCGTTATACTGAAAAACTGCGTGAGGGGCCTCTAAAAGGAATCCTTCCAGAACAGACAGCGCTAAGGGTATTTGCAACAGAGGCTGGGTTAGAGGGAGGGTCCTTTGGCTTCAGACCAAACACGTGGGTGGCTCGGGTGAGAGCACTAGCAGTCCTGGGCATAGCGTCTCCTTCATCATCTGGTCCTAAAGTCTCCCCAGCACAGATATTATGTTAGCTCACACAGCAGAAATTACTTGGGGCATTACCTTAGCAGAAAGCTATTTACTATGGACACTTGTCATAATTAGTTATTGCCCTCAGGAGAGGATGTGTTTCTTTACCAGAACAAACTGCTCCCCTAACAAATAGAACAAAAGCCACAAGTTGGAAAGGGGTTTTTATTCCCTTTCAGAGGCAGCTGCAGGGCAGAGTAGGAGGGAAACTAGGTTTGATTTTGGGGAGCTGCCTTAGAGCACAAGTGATTATCGAAAAAAGTTTACTTAACACACTTGCCTTCAAGCCAGCACTGGCTTTTTCTGGGTTACAAATTTAAGTATCTTTTAATGGGGGCTTACCTAACTTCACATGTTAAATTTGGTCAAGTTGTCTAAATATTTGTCAATCTTGAATGAATTATGTGGATCATCCTACACATCAGCTGCCCTAATTCCTTCCACAAGTGTTTTATACTGCACAGGAGTGTAAACAATGAACCAAAAGTTTGCAAGTGACACATGCTCTTAATTGGAATGGGTCTTAGATACTCCCCTCCTTTTCCCTCGAGTCAGGCAACTTCAAATGTACACAGATGAGGTACTTACACATTTATTGCCCCAGAAAGAAGTACCCAGAGAAGTTCTGATGGAGGAAACAACATTGAGCATTTCACCTATTTAACAAACACGTTCATTTGACATGTGAGAGCCACAGATCACAACAGCAGCACAGGGATCCTACAAGTACACTTACACTCCAGGAAGAGCAACGCTAAGTATTTTGCTGGCTACATGCTCTTTCTAGAGGAACAGCTAGAAGCCAGACCTACAGTTTGACTTATTTGGTAAGCAGCAGCCCCATACAGCAGATCTTGAAGATTAATCCTACCTCAGGTAGGTGGCAGAACATGAGGCTCCTTGAATAGGGAATTCTTTGGCTAGAAATGAAACAGATGCAGAATACTCCACTTTGAAGTCTAATTTCAGTGTTTTCCTGTGCGCATCTTGTTTATTCATCAAGCAAGTCTCCTCAGAAGGCAAAAAGACAACAAAGCCTGCTTTCTTCTAACAAGATCACCAAAGCTTATTTGTATATTTTTATGGTATATGAATGAGATTGACACGGGCTCCCCTTGTCTGTTGGTTCATCTAAAAGACCACCAAGCAAGGAACTGGTGCATAATCTTTCAGGAGTCCTATTTTAAAGCACCAAGATGACAAATCCAATATAGCAATTGACCCAATCAATACTATCAGTGTAAGTGATGTACTGCAGTACCTGTGAGAAAGGATGATCTTCTTCATGTTGTCTGCCATGAGGAAGTTATAAAATCTTCTACATTGATCCCACTGCATGAAGGTTTCCTGTGCCCTACAAAAAACACAGTGCAGAACAACCTAAGCTGTTAATGGAGATCTTGAAAGGTCAGATTAATACACTGTAGCATCCTATGGCAGCCTAGAGGCTATGTAAACAAATCTCCAGGCCTTCCCTGCCACGGCTTAACCTTTTCCAGGAAATGACTTCCACTTTGATGAAGTTTGGTAGTATCAGAAAATAAATCTGCAGTCTCATTTTGCACAATGCAATTAGCTGTTTTGATTAGAGCATTTAAGAGCCACCAATCAAGATCTGCAACGCTGACAAGAGGATTTTAGTATCCTTTTACATAAGTTGAACTTAATTTACCTAATGGGACTACCAAGGAAAGGACTAAAACATGTTGCTGAACAAAGTGTTGTCTATTGTGTATATTAGCTCTGCAGAGGAAATAATTTGTGCAGATGTTTCCAATATGTACAGGGACTATTATTGTTTTAGCTTCATTGGCAGGAGCTGTAGGAGTAAATACTAGTTGCAGCTGCAAGTGGCATCTGAGTTGAAGTCTTCACCTATTCTCAAAGCAGAATAACACTTCACAGCTTATCTGTTGTTAAAACAGAATTAAAGTCATCCAGACTTCTGTGAGCTCTGCCAGCTTTGCTATGCAGGGTCATGGGCAGGTTATAGCTTTACTCTTAGCAGGGTTTGCTGTTACTGAGGAAACACACTATCATTTACTGAGCAACCTAAGAATGCTGGGAGCAGTTTCAGCTACTGAAGTACTCCGACCATTTAAACATTAACATACCATGAGAACTACGGATTTAGCATGACCTCCCAAGCCATAACCTGCAAGTCCCCTAACAGAGCAACAGCAAGCTATGTTTTCTTGTAGTAAGCCACACTGGAGTATGGAATTTTTTTAAAAACTTCCTTATCTTTTTGTCTAGCCAGACTATACCTACCATGTTTATGCCAGGGCAGGGGAATAAAAGAAGACAGGAAGATGCACATTTCTTTCTTCCCAAAAGATTTTCCAAGCAAACCTTTTAAGTTATTACAAGACATTTGAAGTTAAAGCTACTACATTTCCCTGCAGTTCCTGTGGGGTACAGTAGTACTCCTAATACGAAGAGCTGCAAGCACTGAAAAAAGGCACCTTCCAGTATTTTGAGGACTGCACAGGTTTCAAAGCTGAGGACTCTCCCCACAGCCTGTAGCTATGGTGAAGATGCATTCCACAAGATCAAGAAGCAGAATCAAGCCTGTGCAGGCAGAGATTAAGGAATAAGGAGACGTGTCCCTGTTTAGCCTCAGGGAACAAATTCCCCAGACTCTGTGTTAATTCATTAAACTAAGAGCCTCATATTCTTCTGGCAGATCCTAGTATTGCTGCTACTTTATGATGCCCATCTGTGGGACTCACACTTAATGCTCTGGAAAGGCTTTCATATTTCAGATTCCTGCTTTGCCTTGCTCACCACTTCTTTCCTTCAATTCCTATACTAATCTGGGGGACAAAGGCTGTACAAGCTACTAAAAAAAGAAAATGGAATTGTAAACTAACTGGTCATGTCTACCTGGGTAATCCACTTTCATGTAGCCCAGAGGGATGAGGCCAGTTATTTTAACCTACCAGACCAAGCCCAGGAAGGCTAAGGCTTAACCATTCCACCTGGAGGTGCCTTGTATCTCCTCCCTCCCACTTCTATAACCAGGGGCACAAGGCCCTCCCTATCCTGTCTTTTGCTTGGTAGATATTTACTGATGTTGCTTTCCCCTAGCTCTTCAGCTAATTAGCATTTAAAACAGAAGTAGATCTTAGGTAGGGAGACAAGATCTGAAAAGCCTTCCTTCTGATTGCCCAGTAATGCATAGCAGATGTTTTGTGACTGGAGATTTGCTAGTAGATGTTTACCCAGCAGGTGGAGTCCAGAGCTCAGTAATCCACACAACCCACTGAAGACTTGCATTAAAGTCAGACAAGCAGCTGTTATTTTTCCACATGACTATCCAAGTGCAATATTGTTAAACAGGTTGTCCTTGCCTTGCTATTCTACCAGTACATCATGACATACTACTACAGAAATCGGCTTAGGGAACAGTATTACTCACATCATCATTTTGGAGACCAGAAATACAGTATTGCATAATTGCAGAAGATGAACCAAGTGGACCGCAGCCAGATGTAATCCTCACAAACCCTGTCTGATGGTTGCAATTGAGGAGCTGGCTTCAAAAGGATGCTCTGTGCTCCGTGCCAGAACCCCAAGACAACTAAGAACATTTTACTTGAAACAAAACAGAAAAACTGTTTCTGAAAGCATCTGTTCAGATTTTAAGGGTGGGAACTCATGGGGACCTAGTAGTAGATTGCACATTCTTTTAGCAGTAGTCACATCTGATCTCAAAAGGGATTAGGTAGGCTGGAATATTACTGAAGTGCATATCAAGCTTTCAGTCACATCTTAATGCTTCTAGAAAAGCTTCTTACTTTCACCTGTAAAAGCTTAACTCATAAAAGGTGTTTTCAGACTGCTGACTATCAGACTGGTCCCTGTACAGGCAAAGCATCAGCAACACCAAGAGAGCTCGAGCTGCCATGACCAGGCTGGGAGGCCAAATTCCATAGCAAGCCCCTCACAGGGCTGCTATGGTTTCACCATTTTTATCTGCCCAAAGGATCTTGACCCAAATACCCTAGTCTCAAACAGCCCCCTTTTGCCTTTCAAATAGTCTCAGGTCTCAAAAGTGCAGTTAAATTACTGTAAAGACAGCTACACCTTAGTAGTTGTCCATATGTACAGACAGTAAAAACTGAAAGCAGTAGCTTAGCCAGTTACACTGTTTTAATCTTCATTAATGTGCATACATGGAAAATTACTGCACATTAGTTGAGCCACCAGTTTTCAAGCAGCAGTGCTGTACCTAGATCCTCCATAAGTAAATGCAAGTGTTAGCACTAGGTGGAGCCCTTACAGCTCTCGAAGTGCTACAGCCTTGGCTTCCAAACAGGGAACCACAGGTTAACATTTTAGGCAGACTTTAGGGCTATAAGCCTTCTCCTTCCCACCTTCCAAGTTGTGTAACAGTTGCAATTGGCTCTTCATCTCCTCATCAGCCCACAGCACTGTTTCAGTGATAGACACTAAGAGGGGAGCATGGAGTGACAGCGTATCAGCTGTGTCTCTTTCCAGTCTCCCCAGGTAAGATCTGCCAGATGAAACTGCACACTGAAGCCAGAAAAGCCATTATGAATCAACGAATCCTTCTCAGGAAGTGATGAGAAAGTGTAAACTATTTCTTGCAAGCCTGGCATCATCTCAGTAGTCTGTTGTGCTGCCCAGCCTGCCTGGTTAATTACACCAGGATTGCACGGGGAATGCCTCTTCTTAGGACGCATGGCAATTCTGCCATGACACTGAGTTAGGCCAGCTCACACACACAGACCAGAAGCTGCCAGCATGTACCCATCCAGGTACAGAAAACTTATTTGCATTCTTGACAGAAAGCTTATTTGTGCTGCGAAATCAAAGCAGCTTTGGCTGCTCCTTCAGGAGGGCGGCATCCCACACACTGCGGTCTGTCAGATGGGTTCAATGCAAGAGAAGCAACACGCTCTCCACCTTGCCCTTCCACACGCACCCTGCCAAAGATCTGCCCCCTGCTGCACCCCCAGAAGAGACCGTCATGGAGAAGTCTCCAGACCTACCTCAGCGCACTGTACCCCTGGCACACGCTGACGCAGCACAGGACTCGCTCCTGGTTGGCCTGGCTCTCTCCCAGATATTTGCACACAATGTTTCCGCCCAGGCTGAAGCCCACAACAACCAGCTGGGTCTGAGGGTAGGTCTTCTTGATGTAATTAACCATGGCACCAAATTCCCAGGTGCAACCTAAAAATAAGGACAAAGTCAAGAATCATCTAACATACCTAGATCCCCACTTCAAGCTTCAGTTGCATGCTTTAAGTTCAGCTCCTTACCCTTTCTGACTTTTCAATAACCTCAAGGTTTTAAGAGCTCTGATTCACACGTGTTCATGTATCTCTTTTACGAGTCCTGTGGACCTTAGCTCATGTCTAATTCTGACAGAGTGCCAAAGAAAGATGAAATTAGCTTGCTTAAAAATCATGGCAACAGCTAATCTGACAGTCCGAACTCTTCTTTCTAAAGCAGCTTAAAAAGCAGAGTCCAACAACTCTGGCCTTGACATTACTATCTAAGAACAGTGCACGTCATTACTTTCCTTAGGCAGTTTGCCACTTCTGAACTTAAGTGGGGTGTCTGGAAGGCAGCTTGCTTCTTTGCTTTTAGCAAGACTGCCGTGGATCCTTAAATCCATGCTGATGCAGGGAGGTGATGGAAATGCAGAGCTGGCTTGTCAGGACAGAGCTCTCAGTGGACTGTTGCAGAGCCTGACTAAGCAGGTGTTCTCTGGAATCAGAGGGAAGGGTTTAAGCAGAGGCAGCTAGCCCTTTTTAACCACTGAAGAGGTAATGATACTGCAGCTTCCTAGAAGATGTATGTTATCCCCTCTTCAAGAGAAGAGGTAAGTGCCTCTATACAAATCTGTTCTGCTCTCAGCTAACACCCACTTGCATCCCACAGGCTGCAGGCACTGAGGGATCCAGCTTCTGGCAGTACTAGGGTCCTCAGATTGTTTGACAGACTTGAAGGCCTCCACATGTGCAACTTCTGAGTACCTACAGCTGTTTCTCCTGCCTTTGAGTTTGGGAAAAGGAAACATGAAGAGAAGCAGCTGCAAAACCGATGGCATTAGTACACTGGTATCAACAGCCTATGCACTTTGTTAACCTTCCCATTGGCACCACATGAACAACACAAATAAAACTCCAGCTGTTTATTCCTGTCTAGAGTCAGAATCTCAGCTCTATCCTGTGGAACTTGTCCAGGGAGATAATCCTAAGAGTTGGGATTCTACCCTGTGCCAAACTAACAGTGCTCCACTGTGTCCCCACCCCAACTGTAACATCCTTGCTAGACATCAGACACAGGTTTTGGCTAGCTCTGGAGTAGACCGAGCACCAGGGTTTGTGTTTACTTCAGTGAAACAGCAGGCTTCTGGCTGATTTCAGCAGGGCTTGGGCACTTCCTTGTGAACATTCTTAACGAGCAATTTTCCTCAAGATGACACATGCTGCATTGCTCTAGTTTCCTCTGGAAGAAGCCAGCAGTCAGAAGACTTTAGTGTTTGACCTTCATGATTTGAGGGCAGCCGGCAACTATTTCAGAAATCCAAAACCAGAACAGCAACAGGTCAAGCTTGATGTAAAGGCTAGAGGGTTCAGTGCATCTGAAATTTAGGCTACTTGCTCCTCAACAAATATGTCAGGAATCCAGCAAAAGCTGGGAGGACACTAAGATATTTGGGCTGGAGGCAGAGTAAAGTCTGCTCATGGTCTTGCTGGCACTCCACGTAAGCAACTCTGCCAAGTGATTTACTGTCTTACTTAAAGGAAGTGCTTCTTGCCCTTTCCAAGGCTATAAAAGACTCAGAAAGGTATGTCTCAAGAGATGCACTACAGAATAACTCCCTGAGGTCTAAAGCAAAGCTCTATGGAAGAAAGCTCTCAACTTTTATCAAAAAAGCAAATGCTTTAAGGAGGCCAAGCTTAGTTCCCAAGACATGGTAGGCTTGAAGCCATTAACAGCCTAGGGCCTCAATACAAATTGAGGTACTTGGTATTCCTGAAGTGTTTTCCACTGAGGAGTAGATTTAGTAACTATAAAAGAAGCAACAAAGCATTACAGCCTATTTGCCTGCCAGACCCAGAATCTCAAAGCACAATATTTCTATTTTGTTAACTCAACTGTTCAAGATAAACATTCAAACTGTTCATCTAAACTCTTAGCAGTAAGTATCTTAGTTACCTTTAAAAAAAGAAAAAGAAACCTAACACCAATCTGGTAAACCCACAATTGGCTCCTGACATAATGTACCTATAGATGTTTGCAGTAAAGAGGGACATGAGGGCTCAAGAGAACTCAGGAACAAGCAGATCAGGTCACAGGCAAGAAGGCCACATTCTAGAGAGATCATGTTACTCACTAGCAGGGCAGTTAAGAATAGCTGGAGTCACCCTTAACACAGTTCCAAATCCTCTATTTGTTTTAGTTTCTAGGTTAAGAAAGATTTCCTTATACTCAAGGTGAAAGCCCCAAATCATGGCCACTAAGCACTACCACTTCTGTAGCTTTACTGTCATACTGTAGAATTGTTGCTGTTCCTTGACATTTGTGTTACCTCCAGGGACCAATCCTCATGTGTCCCTCCTAGGATAGAAATGTACTTTCTGGATAGGCTGGTACAAACTCCTCTCATATTACATTTTACAAAGCCTCAGAAGTAGTGTTTATCCTTCAGAGCCAGGTTTGTTTCACATGCCACTAAACTGACATTTCAGCATCTCTAAAATCATTTGAGCAGGCTCTCAGTAGTCACAAGAGCTTTTTTCAAAAGTTTTCTTTTCAGAAGACTGCCTCCTTGATTAGGATACACATGTAAGAGCTGGGAGAAGAGACAAGGAAAAGTGAATCCCAGTATTAGCCTCCCCTCCTCCTCACATGTAAGTTCAGTTTATTTCCCAAGGAACAGTATAAAATTATTATCCTTATTCAGATATGGCAGTTGTTGTGCTGAAGGAGGCTGATCAAGCCCTAGAAATTCCACAAGCTTGAAAATAAGTCCCCAGTTGCCATAAAGTACCTACCGTATGTGAACATTCGTGGAGAAGTGAGCTCAATATTTGGTAAGGCTCCCAAATGATTCAGGACAGCACATCTGTACCCATTTCTTTGCGCATAGTCAACAAAAGTGCGGATATACTGCTTTTCACTGTGGTTAGCAATCCCAGGGCAGATTACCATCGTGACATCCTCTGTGCACAGAAAGAGAGGGAAGTTAAGTAAATGTCACTTCATGCAAATTAAGAGATTCAGAAGGTTTCCATTTCAGATCCGTGGGAAACCATCTACAAGAAGCAAGCTAAGAATCCTACTAGTCTGCCAAAAATCCAGTATGGGACAGGAGACTAGTGGCTCTAGAGCTACAGATGTGAAAGAGTAATTCATGTTACAGGAGATGAACAGTTTAACTTCAGGGAAAGCTACCCAAACAGTTCTGCAGGCACTGCCTAGAGACCAAGAGTAAATTCTTCCCTTTGAAGGATTTTTTTGACATTACACACGTTCTGCCTTCTGACAGCCTGTTGTGACTGCTAAGTGTGTGGAAGCTCTGGAGCCCACTGCCTGTTCACGCACTGAGTAGACTGGCTACGCTATTTTCCCCCTCGTTTCCCTTCCAGAGTTGGGTGTAACACAGATCTTCAAAATGAAGCTTTGCTAAAAACAAGCATTCTGATTGACTGACATTAGCCATCATCTGCTTTGTGGCTAATCTAACGATATTTGATCTGCTGACACTATTCACTAGTTTAACAAGATATCATTTAATCAACTAAGAAAGTGTTGTAATTCAAGTAAGCACAGCAAATTACATTCAGAATTAGCTAATTCGAAGCAAATATGCTGTCAGACTCTTACGTGCAAAGCTCCAACACTTAGCAGCTCTAGCCACTGAATTTTTGCCTCTTTGGGAAAGCATGCTTAGATTCTTTTCAGTGATAAAGATAACAGTAACTGTTCTAGTGCAGCATTATACCACGAGGATCTCAGCATTGACAGTTAAGAAGAGAACTCTGCTTTTTCTGAAGGCCAAATGGGAGTCATGGGCTTACAATGAAACCAGCTACTGCAGGGGTAAATTGTACTTAAGTTAAGCCACAGTAACTCAGTTTTAAGTGTTGCTGTTACTAGCAATAACAGTGAGTTTGAAAGATGACATTCACTCTGAATATACATAATGTTGTAAGGAATCACCATGATTTTCTACTTTTTCATGGAGTTATCTTCATTTCTGGACTCCTTCATATCCTGTGCACATGGAGTTTGTTTTCATGCAGATCACCTATTGTTAGTAAAGACTACCAAGAGTCCGTTTCTAAGGGGGAGATAAAAGTCTAGTTTCTTTTCCATACACACCAGGCTATGAAGAACCTCATGCAGCTAGCCTCCGTTCTATGATCCCACAGCCTTAATGGGCAAAGGGCATTCCAAACAAGGCTTACCACCAGATTCTCTTTGCCAGCCTCTCACGCGAATCACAGGTTATGGAACATTTCTTCTGTTCCTTAACTCCCCACCTCTTGCCACAAACAGTTAATTAGTCTGGTAGGGTCTCTCCTGCTGTCCGAGATATAGGTATACAGCAAGATGGCCTCAGAGCCTCCGCACATTGGTTACTATTGCTTAGCAGCCCCCTTCCATCACCAGAATTAACATCTACCCTTTCTGCTAAATCAAGTAGCAGTGTCCTAATCCATGTCCCAGAGCACAGAATCAAGGTTAGCAGCTATATGCAGCCAGCAGCTGTTTGACTGACCTCCAATGCAGTGCTCCAACTGCGGCTCAAAGAGATCAAAGGTGGCTGTTGCTCCATCTGACATCGTGAGGTACTTGCGAAGTCCATATGGATGTGGTGATCTCACTCTCCCCATTTTTCCATAAAGGGCAGTTTGGATGTGGCCACTCTTTACCCAGAGCAGGGGGGGAATGC